GGGGGGAGAAGTGACTTTATCCAACCATGTCCTTGTTTTACCCTTGTTTTGTTCCTAACACTGTAATCTTAACAGACACTGGTTAGAAACCTCTTTATTACCCTTGTTCATTCATCCAGAAGAAAAATATCAATCCCTTTCAAAATTTCAACAATCAGTTTCCACAACCTATTCAGAAGCTTAAAAATGGGAGATGAGGAAATCTTTTTGTGAGTTGATTGCACACAAGAAGCTGTGGTGTGCGGTAGGTGCCTGAACTTGCAGCATTTCATTATTTGCAAATCATTTCACCAGCACTGTCAAGAAATAAAAGGGGATTAGCTCTGCAGTTCCTTCACTTAGTATCACAACATGCACATTTATTCTAGACTGTTTGGATTGATTAAAAACACAAAATGATTGTCTTAGTCGCTCCCATGTAACACCGTTGCTGCGCGAGCTGCACTGGCTGCCGGTGGCTTTCCGGGTGCGCTTCAAGGTGCTGATTATCACCTTCAAAGCGCTCCATGGCATCGGACCCGGATATCTCCGAGACCGCCTCCTGCCTCAGATTACCTCCCATCGGCCAGTACGCTCCCACAGAGTGGGTCTCCTCAGGGTGCCGTCAGCCAGACAGTGCCGGCTGGCGACCCCCAGGGGGAGGGCCTTCTCGGTGGGAGCTCCCACCCTATGGAATGAACTACCCCCAGAGATCAGGGTGATCCCGGATCTCCCTTCCTTCCGCCGCGCCCTCAAGACATGGCTATTTCAGCTAGCAGGACTGGCCTAGGGGAAATTTTTAGCCGGGTTTTAAAATAATTTTAAATTAAATATAGGCCAAGTATTAATATTTTCTTTTAATTATGTTTTTAACTATAGTATTTGGTATTTTGTATGTGTTTTATCAGCCTGTTAGCCGCCCTGAGTCCGCAAGGAGAAGGGCGGGATATAAATACAATAAACTAAACTAAACTAAACTAAACTAAACTTAGTTGACTCAGTATCTTTGCTGATGAACCTCTATCTCTAGCTCATATGAATCTAAGCAGAGTAACTTAGATAAGTTGGAACTTATCTGGAACACTGAATTCCTGCCTAGGAACCAGAATTTCTGCCTATGGAACACTGAATTCCTGCCTAGGAACCAGAGTTTTGGTGCCACCTGAGAAGGAAGGTTAAAACAGCTCCACCCTCTCCCTAATTGGAGAGTTTGTTCTAGAAGAAGGGAACTGAAAACAAGTGTGCCAAGGATGGATATGTCAAGGAAAAGAATTAAGCCCAAGGAACAGCAACCCAAAGGCAAGCAGCTCAACAGCTGTCTTCAGACAGCAAGAGAAAATTTCAGTTTTTGGATCTTCAACACCAGCTGAGAGTTGAGGGAGGAAAAATGCCTGAACAAGAGTCTGCCAATCCAAGCAATCCCACAAACCCAGAGTATACAGTAGCCCAGATGCAGAGCTCTATAAACCAGCTCCAGAAACAGAGTGCTGGGGAGGGGGCAATGAGGTGAGGAGAGAAAAGTCAATTTGCAAGTTTATAAAGGATTGAAAAGGGGTTTTGATATGCAAATGACTGAGATTGGCTAGACCTGGGGGAAAAGGAAAGATTTAAAGAAGAAATTGTTAAGATAAGGAAACATAATGTTAACATAGGAAAAGAACCACAGAGATAGGAATGTATTGTCAGCCCTCCCAGGAAAATCAGACAGGAAATATGACAAGATGAATTAATTCTACTTTATTGTAAGGCTACATTAACAGAAACTTGAAAGTCTGAAGGCACAGAGTTCCCACCTCTACTTTTTAACTACTTGATCCATTAGGGCAGGTCTTTCCTAATTTCTTTCTGTGGCTGTTAAGGAGACACTGACTGCAGGCTCCTGCCATTTTTATCTCATTGTTTTCCAGACAGCACTCATCCTCTCTTTCTCCAAGGTCATTCATACACTCCAATACATGTATAGTTTAAACAAGAACAGAAATAGAATAGTTGTAAACTTATAGTAACAGGGAGATAGAAGTTTAATTTTGTTCAATAAAGTCATTTTGTGTGGGGAAAAAAACAAGTACAGTCTTTGTTGCTGTGTACATGAAGAAAATTCTAACAAATGGTGGCAATGATGGGATATAGTTCAATATCCAAACATAAAGAATAAAAGGCTTGCGTGGAAAAATGAAAGGGTGATCTTGCTGTAGAGGGAAAAGAGACTGGGAGATAAAGTGTTTGAGATCTAGAGGCAAGTAGGAGTATCTCAGCACATGACTCATCCAACAACTTACATAAGGCAGCTTGAAATAAAGAAAGAGGGTGAACTGTAATCTGGAAGGAGGGCCAACCCTGGCAGTTAACCATGATCCATCTGAAGCCCTGATAAGTATGGTGAGGAGGCATCTGCTATGACAGCAAGAGGAAAGACAACTGATGGCTAAAAGATAAGAGGAAGGGCAAAGGAAAGCTCTCAGAAAAGAGGAGAAAGATAGTTCATGAAGGGAAACTGAGCAAAGAGACTGCTTAAAGAAAGACAGATTGGAAAGAGCAATCTGAAGAGACGAGTTCAAGGAACTTATAGTGCTCCTTAAAGGAATTGAATCCCTTCTCTAAATCCAGTTTCTGAGGTAGCAAGGGGCAGACATTATGAGATACCTTTCCAATACTCAGAGGAGAAATATATTAGAACTGCCTTTTGTTGTGTTGCAGGGAGATACTATGGCTTGTAAAGAGGTCATCTGTGTCAAAATTGAACAGCCCTCTCTCAACAGAGGGGGAGGGATACATCATCTACCTTCAGTCTACAACACAGTCTTTTCAGCAGTTCCAAGAAGGCTCCACACCCATTTGCACTACTCAGGTAACCCTGAGGACACAGACAAATCCTCAAGTGGCCTCAACGACTCTCTAAAAGAATGCAAATGACCAGCTGTCTGCAAGGAATATAAATCCTTCCATTCCCCACCATCCAGTCAGAGCTGAAGAAGCTTCTTGGATGAGAAGTGAAACATCTTCAAAGAGAAAAAAGTCCACTTGCCTTGTGAAAAGCACCTTTGGGACAACCATGACTGGATGACTGAGAATCTCCATAAACATTTATAGAAGGCCAACTAATCCAGCAAAAAGGGCCACCAGATAAAGCACCATTAGTGAGAGCCCCTGTAGGACCTGGCATACATGCAGATTTTCTATCCTGCCAGGTATAATGCAGAGAAATATTTAAAGAAATTGGTAGTCAAGATTGGTGTGACGAATGCCCAGAAAAGATCTGGGAACTGAAAACAAGCACATCCTTAAGGAAAAGAGTCAAGCCCAGAGGACAGCAGAAACGTAGAAAAGAGAAACTCCTACCCAAAGGCCAGCATATCAGAGCAGTTTTCAGAGAAAACTGAAGAGAAAACTTCAATTTTTGGACCTTCAAGACCAGCTGAAGCAAAGCTGAGAGCCCAAACAAAACTCTGCAAACCCCAGCAAGCCTGAAAACTCACTGCATGTAGCAACTCAGTGCTCTTTACAAATCAGCTCCAGATATAGACTGAGATTGGCTACAAGAGCTGAAGACTTGGAAGAGGAAGGAAAGATTTAAAGAAGGAATACCTATTAGTTAACATAGGAATAGGAACATAGCAATAGGAGATAGACATAGGAATATATAGATTAAATGAGAATAGAAGTAGAAACCTAATAGAATAAGACTTCGTACAATAAAACTGTTTTATGCGAGGAAAGCAAATAACAGTCTTTGTTTCTGTGTTCTGTATCATATTAAGAAAAACTCTAATACTGAACCCCACTAATTATCCAGCAAGGTTCAGTCATAGTAACTATGATATATCATACATAATACTGTGAAATAATGTTTGGGGGTAAAATTACTATAGTGGTTCCCAGTACAGCATCTACAGTGCATAGATTTTAAATTTTAACTACCTAACTATTAGGTCAGAGCTTGACACTGAGGGACCAAATCACTTTAGCATGAACTTGGAAGACTGCTACGTTCCTAGAGGTTCATACAAGTAGTCCTTGACTTGTGATCACAGTTGAGCCCAAAATTTCTGTTGTTAAGTGAGACATTTGTTAATTGAGTTTCGCCCCATTTTACGACCTTTCTTGTCACAGTTGTTAAGATGGATTGCTGCAATTGTTAAATTAGTAGCATGGTTTTTAAGTGAATACTTGTTTCCCTGTTGATTTTGCTTATTCAAATGACCTTGGGACTCAGCAAGGGTCATATGTGTGAACCCGTTGCCAAGTGTCTGAATTTTGATCCCATGATCAGGGGATGCTGCAAAGGTCGCAACTGCGAAAAATGGTCATAAGTCACTCTTTTCAGTGCTGTTGTAACTTTGGTCGCTAAATGAACTGTTGTAAGTTGAGGACTACCTCTATTCATGTCACTGTCAGGAAACAGGTTACTTTTCAGACATTTTAAATTGAACTCACAAAATTATAACTGCTTCTATTCCTTTTTAAATTATTTTCATTTTATTTGTGTGTTAGCTGTTGTTAATGTCCTCCTGGCAGAAATGAGAGAAGGGATGAGGGGAAGGATGGTATTTTTTAAAAATAATATTTAATATTTTAATGTTTTGTCTTGTTTCTTTTACTTGGTTGTAAGCCATCTAGAGTCACCTCTAGGTAAGATGGGAGCATATCAGTTTAATAAATAAAATAAATTTTTTGATACCTGGATCCTTTCCAGTCCTGTGTTGTCCAAGGAGATCCCAGAGAGACACACATAACCACATGAAGGTCTAATGGTGAATAAATCAGTATACTTTGTATCCTCCCATCAAAGTCCTGATTTGATGAAACCTACTGGAGTGTTAATAGACTCAAAGAAATGAATTTGTTGGAAAAAAACCTATTCTTTTAATTATGTAATAATTATTAATTATTAAAGTAAGAAATCAGTAGTTGGAAAGAAATTAACACCGAGTGAGAGAGAAAATGCAAGATATAATGAATTTAATTAAAGAAATATGTTGAGAAGTAAGGCTATCAGTTTAATGTATTCTTCTTTGTTTCAGGAATGGACGTATACATATAACCAGCAAATCCACTTTCAACAGTTATGCTTGTCCATACATACCCTCTTTCCAGGTTCCCAGGTGATGCTTTTGCCTTGCAAAGAAGGGGATGGCAAGCAGGTGAGATCAAGATCAGGGTTGTTAAATTCTTCTCCAGCATGGTGTACTAGTATTGATGTAAGGTTTTTCCCCCCTTTCCTTGGTTCATTTTTTTATTGATTTACTGGAGCTTATCTGGTATTCTAATCCAGAAGGACCATGCCAGATGCTAACAGCACTAATGTCTGGAGAAAAAACATACATGGTCATTGATACCATTGAAAAATCATTTGGAAAATGCAAAAAATTACTTGGATTTGCTTGGGATAGGACAGTTAAAAATGTCTAAGGTCTGGAAATTAGTCACATCATATTGCCTAGGTGCCCAGTGTTGATGCCTGATGCTATCGACAATCATATCACACACTGGGCTTGATTTAAAATTTAAGAGGCAATAGTTAAAAGCAAAATTATATCAATTATAAACAAAGTTGTGGCAATAGTCCAATAGCTAACTATGATTATTTTTCCAAAACTGATGCAAGGTTAGGTTAAACCAGATGGGATTCATCATGATGTGTCATTTGCCAACAAATGTTTGCACAGATGAAACATTTATCCCCAAGTGTGACATGCTTTATTGCTTCATCCCTATCCATTGCTTCATCCTTATCATGTTGGTATCCATGCAGATAACAGTGGACAGATTTTGAAGCAGCTTTCTTAAAAGGATATGTTGGGCAATGAGAATATATTTTCCACATATTTTGGTAATACTTTGGCTTTGTATAGATTCTTAAAAAGAAGCTGACAGAAGATAAAATGGTTAGATATTGTTACTGATATTATCAGATGAGCTTAGAACAACTCAAACAGTCACTAATAGAAATCCTAGTAAACTATTATCTATTGGATCACAAAGAAGTGACTGAACAACAACAAAATATTATAATTAGCATTGCTGTGAGCACTTTGCAAAATTCCTGAAGTTTGAATACTGAATTTCCACTTGCTTTCCTTAAATAATTGTTCTCCTCTTTGTTTACCATATTGATACAACTCAACAGCTATTATATATCATAAAGCATGAGCTAGGAATTCTATTTGATCCAATGATCAGACTGTTCCCCAGGCAACCCTTATGAATTGGGGAGGTATCGGTTGGCAGGCTACATTTTTCTTGAAACTCCCTCAAACTCTTTCTCCATAGCATAGTAAGAGATAGCAATCTTTGCCTGCCTACAGAAAAATACTGCCCTAATCATTGCAGTAGCTTTGATACTTTAATGGGAAGAGCTTCTTAAATATAACATAAGGTTAATCTTAATTTCCCATTTTTCCTTTAATAGCGCTGGAATAAAGTTGGTTCTCACATTGAGCACATGGCTACCCGCTATTGCCTGGACACAGAAATGGTGGGAGATAGCAGTGAGAGCATGAGAGAAGTGGTCATTAACCCCTGTGAAAGCACAGCAATGAGTCAGCGGTGGGAAATGGTGATGTCCTGAACTCATCTATCAATTCACCATCAAGCTCATCTGGAAGGACCTTTGTCAGAAATTGGCAAGGCTGTTGTCCAGTATAGGGGTTGGTATGGGCTTGCTTTTCTGTGGGGCAAGTCAAAGAATAAGAACATGCAGTTGTGCTGATGTTAAAGAAAGGCTCACAAGTGCTGGCTTTAAGACCAGAGTAGTAACTATTCCAGGTTGGGGGTGATATGTATGTACTGTTAAGAACATCACAATGTAATCTAGAAATATCTTTTGGTAACATTCATCTGTTAGCTGAAGCACAATATGACCTTGTTTTTGAGAAGGAAACTTTCTGAAATTGATAATTTAATTGTCTTTGTTACCAAGGTTATTGAAAATCCTCAGAAAATAATAAGTGAGCAAAATGATTCTAATGGAAGAGAAATGAAGAAAAGAGAAGCTAAATCTTGTAAAAGCACATGAATGGTCATGGTGGGAATGATTAGAAAGGACCAACAAATCTTGCACTTTGAATTGGTATAGCTAAGCACATCTCTGAAATAAGTTTGAAATAAGCTATATTGCACATGAGAATTTGAATGTGAACCCTGTTTTTGTGCAATAGAGATTGTATGTAGTGTGATTAAAATCAATGCGTGTAAGAGAGGGGGAGGGAAATGGAAGAAAAAAGTGAAATATTGGATTTTTCTTCAACTGATTATGTGTGTATGAAGGGGAAAAAAGAAATATTTATCCTAACTTCAGTGCAAGGTTTCTTCCAGAAATGGAAATATATAAGGACCCTGGTCCAGAAATCATGAATGTCCCCTGGAGAGGGAGGAAAGACAAAATTCTCCATTCTAACTCAGCAGAGGGCATACATTCAGCATATAGCTGGCCCTACATCCTCTCACTTGCCCAAAACTGATATGAAGAAGGACCAGGAGAATACAAAGTGGATGGTAGATGGACAGTAGCTTGTCACTTCCTTCCATTTTCTCAGATGGCCTGAGGGGAAAAAAAATAACATAGTGATCAACCTCTAAGGTCCAACTTGTCAATTTATGGTATTAGTTATATCTTGTTTTCTTGTCCATTTCCCCCTCTTCCTCTACCCTATTAAGACTGAACATTTGAGCTAACTAACTATAGATAATTTACAGAAACTTGAAGAAGACAAGATCACATTACTTGCAGATACACTTTTGTTATTTTTGTTTTGCTGACAGCATTGTCTCTGAGTTGGGTGGGAGGAGGTTGTTAAATAAGAGCAGCAACAATTTTAGCAAAATCACTGGATAGCGTTTAGATCAGAAGATCATAGAAGCGTAGGAGGGAAAGTGAATTTTACAGTGCAGAAATCTGTGATGCCACTGAAATCAGAGGTAGCCCAGGATATGAATATGGATTTGTGGTAGAAAGTACACAAAATTTAGCTGAACCCCAAATTGACCAAAACCTGGGTCTTAATGAAACAAAGCAGAATTCTCAGAGTAGCTGAAACCGACCTAGGAGTCTTATTGAATGATTTCATGCTTTGTGGCATTACAGAAAATTGGTTCCATGCTTGCAAAAAGAAAATAAAAGTTGCATTTCTCTATTAAAAAGCAGGATGGGAAAATAGGAAGGAAAAGGATGGGGGAAGTGTTGAGTTAGTTGCGATTTTTCCAGTCTGCCAGCTGATTAAAGACTTACAAGAAACCAGGATATGCTAAAAAGAACAGTAAGGTTTCTTGCAATGTGTTGGTTCACTTTTAAGGGCCATAAGAAATCATCTCCACATTCCTATGTCAATAGATGAACATTAACTGTTTTAAGTATATAGGAAGCATTGTTTAAACTAGTGCTCTCTTCAGCACATACCATTTAATTCTGCAAATAACAATAATGATCCCTCCATCTATATGCTTATTGTGTGTATTTCTAGACAAAGATTACTTCTAAAATGTCAACCTGGTGCCTTCTATATATGTTGAAGCTAATCCTGTCTTGCAGTTAGGGGCACTGAAATACTGGACAGAGGAAGCCTGCAAAAGGTAACACTGGTGCTGTCACACAGTCCTTTCTAATCCAAACAAAAAACCTTCTGCCTGTGTGTGTCGTGAGGGATTCATGCCTCTATTTGAGAAGGCAGATTAACACTTTTCGTTATTCCATCTCTGGGATCTCAGATGAACCTAAAGCCACCTGCTGTTTATAATTGTAATGTGAGTTTCATGATTTAAAAACCTTGGAATAAGGAAAATTTTCATATCATAAAAGTAATATTTTGCTATTTGAAGCTTATGGTCTCTTATTTACTTGTGTGCTTGCTTGCTTCTATACTCATCATCCTCCAAAAAGAGAGAGAAAAGAGGGAGGAGAGTCTTAAATAAAACTACCACAATAAAACCGTTCAAGCAAGGGGGAAAAATAATAAAAGCTAAGCTTGCGCAGTTTATCAGGCTTGATTCCCAAAAGGTATTCTCAGGGAGTGTGAAGGTATGGATTTGTCTACAAGTCCTGAAAGCAGCAGTGTCCACCACAGCTGTTTTCAAGAGTTGCCAACAGGTTCCAAGCTTATGCTCCTACATTCTTTGAGCAACTTTTTGGAACCCCATCCAAAGCTCTGCACAGCTATATTAAACTCATTAAAAAATAAAAACAAAATAAAGAATTTAAAACTTTTAAAGGCTGTCTATTTTTGGAGAAGCAGCTATCCCATTCATATTTTTAATTATTTCCTGAGGGAAGTCAATGTGTGGAACAGAGCAATCAAACATCCCTCAGGAGACAAATTCTTAAGAGGGTGCCATAAAAGAGAGCCAATTCTACCAGTGGAACAAGAATAGGTCTCCCCAGCTGATCCTAAGTTGGATAGTATTGGGGGAGGCAATCATTTAAATGCCTGATCCTGAACCTTTTGGCCTTTATAGATTAATTTCAACATCTGAAGGCAACCAGTGCGGTGTTTCCTGGATTCATATATATAGTCTGATTTATCTACTTCACTTAATTGGACAGCTGCTTTCTATACGAACAGCAATCTCTGGACTCCTCTGCAGTAATGCAAGCAATGAATTATATTATTAAATCATAGGTCAGTGAGACTAGGCTAACTTAGGAATGGTCATGGCTGATACAGCAACCAAAGCTGGCCCCTTTTTAAATTTTGTGGCAAAATTAATTGGATGCTCCATGTGAATTTAAATTTATTTAACCTATAGGAGACCGGCTTATCAGTTCCTGCCACACCAATGATTTCTTCTTAGCTAAAACTGCCTTCAAACCATCAAAATGAAGCCTCTATACATGGACAGAACTAGAGGGAGTGTATAGACATCAAATTGCATAAAGGAGGTGGAGAAGCTCAAATATAGCATGAAGTCAGTTGCTGGCTGTGGAATAGCTTATGAACTGCAAGGCATCAGTAAGCAATGTATTCACATGACATGGTTTATGACCACATCACTTAGTGACACCAGTCCCAATTGCCATTGTAACCCAAGGATTATCTGCATTTATTCAGCCTATATGCTAAATATACATTAAGGACAGCTGGATTGAAAGAAGGTGAGCATGGTTTTAAAACTGGAGGAAGAAGTAACACTGCACCATGCTGATAACCTTACTCTGACGGTCAAAAAATGCAAAGGATCTGCAGGGTCTAGTAATAAAAGTCAAGAAGGAAAGAGAAAAAGGACTAAAATTAAATATAAAGAGCAAACTAATAATAACAGATACAAGCTGGCTTAGAATTGACAATGAAACTATTGATAAAGTGGATAGCTTCTGCTTTTAGGACAGAAGGTTGCATGCCTTTGATGGTTGCATCAACAGTAAAAGAACAAGCAATAAAAAATGTGCCACAAACTAGCATTTGATAGAGCAGTCATAAAGGTCTTTGAAAAGATATTCAACTGCCATTATGTGTAATACCTACAAAGATCAGAATTGTGCAATCCATGGCATTCTCTGTTATATTATTATTGTACCCTATTTAGACGTGAAAGTTGGACTTTGAAGAATTATTAAAGTATTGATGCTTTTGAAATTTGATTTGGGTGAAGTCTCCTGAGAATACCATTTACAACCAAGAAAACAAACAAAAATTAGATCATTGAACAAATCAACACAGGGTTCTTACTCAAGAACCAGATTCAATGACTAGATTCAAATTATTCTACTTTAGGCAGATTAGGCAAACAGCCAACTCTTTTGAAACGACTGCAATACCAGAAAAAAATGAAAGAGAAAAAGAAGGTGACCAGCAGCAAAGCAAGACGGTTACAGTAGTGATGAGTGTACTGTTGGAAGGCCTGAAAGACCAATTTGGGGATTGAGTATCATGGAGAAAATCTATTTAAGGTAATCACTAGAAGTAAAGAAGAATTTGATGGTGCATAATCAATCAAAATCCAATGTATGTTTATGAGGAAGTTCTAAAATGAGACTTTATCTCAACTTAGAGCAGCTTTAATTCAGTTCAATATTGTGCATTTCAGATGTGCTGGTAATATTGACAGAATAACAGAATTGGAAAGGATCTTGAAGATCTTCTAGTCCAATGTCCTGCTCACACCCTGTACTATTCCAGACAATGTCCAATCTCTTCTTAAAAGCCTCCAGTGATTGAGCACCCATAATTTCTGGAGGCAAGTCGTTCCACTAATAAACTGTTCTCCCTGATAGGCAATTTCTCCTTAAGTCTAGGTTGGATTTCTCTTTGATAAACTTGTATCTTTTATTTCTTATCTGGTGCGTTGAAGAATAAATCAACAATCCCCTTTTTCCGGTGGCAACCCCTCAAATACTGGAATATTGCTTTCATATTACCCTTAGTCTTTCTCTTCATTAGACCAGACATACCCAATTCCCACAACTGTTCATCGTATGCTTTAGCCTCCAGTCACCTAATCATCTTTGTTACTCTTCTCTGCACTCTTTCTACAGTCTCAACATCTGTTTTGTATTGTAGTGACCACTATAAAGCAGTACTAACATTTAACGTGATATTGATACTATCCCTCTGTTGATGCAGTATAAAACTGCATTGGCTTTTTTTTTTGGGGGGGGGCAGCTGTAGCACATTGCTGGCTCATACTTAAATAGCTGTCCACTAGGACTCCTATATCTCTATCACAGTTACTGCTATTGAGCCAGGTATACAGCTTCCAGAATTTCCTGGTACCTTAACAACAACCTGTTATAGACTGAGTTCATACACTTTATATAACCCAGACATTTCTTACCCATGACTTACTGAATAAACCACCATTGTCTAGGTTCACACTGCATACACTAAACTGTAAATCATTGTTTACAAAGAACAACAGCTGGGTTAAATCAAACCTAAGTCAAAACCAAGTTTAGCTTAGTTTAGTTCAATGTAGATGGTAGAGAACAGGAAGACCTGGAGGAACGTTGTCCATGGGGCCGTGATGGGTCAGACACAACTTCGCAACTAACAACAACAAGTTCAATGTATTAAGTGAGCTTTTCTATTAACACAAAAATTTTCAATCAACAGTAGTAAAAATATCTGTGCATAGAATATTTGAAGATTGATTATTTGAAAGTAACTATTTTAACTCACAAAAATAACCATGCTGTGTTAAGTTCCTTTTTTCACAGTTCATGAAAACAATGTGATTGATAAATAGTCATATTAGTTATGGCATTCGTACCTGGAATGTACATTCGAAATGAATCTCAGTATTGTTCAAGCCATCTCAAAACTTTAAAACAAAAATAGAAACTAATGAGATTGGTAGATAAATTATTTTAATGATATAGGCCTGAAACATAATGCACTTTAGCTGAAGGTAAATGTGCATGGAATTAAGGAGCAAAAGATTACATGAGGCAAAAAAATGAATGCATTATTGGCAAAACTGTACATAGCATCATATATCATAATGCAATTTGTCTCTCCACAAAAAAAGAAAAAAATATCTTCCCTTTCCATCAGTCTCATCTCAATTTAAGTCAATATTGCTTTCAGAACAGA